CGCCGGTGCTTTTTTTTCCTTTAATGAATGAAATTATCACCAGTATATTACACAGAACATACTTGATCAGAAGTCAGGCAAACACACACAAGCGTCAAGAACGAGAAGCCACTCCAGAACGGGATCAAAAGTCTCGACAACACTGTGCACTTGAGCAGCTGCTTCTCGGAAGATGGATCTCGTCGACCGTGGTGGCTCGGCGTGTCTATCGATCATGCGACTTTTCCATAATGAATAAAGTCCCAGCAACATAAACAGGTCGTAAGGAGTATTATCAGTCGGACTGTTTTTGAACGGAAGGAACCTAATACCATGAGCTGTGATTGGAAGTTCTTTTCTTAATGTTCTTTTTAGAATGTCCCAAAAATAAAAAGCGTCACGACAATGAACAAAACAATGTTCTATAGTCTCAGGTTGGTTGCAGAGTCTACAATTCACTGACCAGGGTACGTATATTGGTTTTTCATTCGGCCACATTTTCACTGGCAGCGTGGAAGTGTGCAGTTTAAAGAAAAATGTTTTCGCTGAAGGAGATATACACATTCTACGTACACGGAATAATACATCGTGACCAGGCAGAAGCGAATATGGCTTTCGATAAACAGGTTCGGGGAAAAGGTTATTCACAAGTGCAGCGGTTAAATTTGTTCTGTCAATAGTATACAAATACTCTAAGGTAAACCTGGCTTTCAAAAAACTGACAGTATCAACAATTTCTCTTAGGAAACCCCGCAACGGCAATTCCTTAGCAACGCTTGTTGTGACATGAATAAAAGGAAGGTGGGAACATACACGGTTACGAAGAACCGCTAACAGAAATGGGTGGCACACATCCTTGAGGTGAAAAAATCGCAACATCAACTGTCGCACGAACAAATGCACAAAGCCGAGGCCACCCTTTTCAAGTGGAAGAAAAAGATTGTTTCTTCTCATGGGTTCCCAGGAAGAGCTCCAAATAAAGCAGACAAATATCCTATGAAAGGCTTGAATGTGTGCCCGAGAGCAATTGTTGCCGATTTGGGGCTCAACGACGTGACCCCGCTGGCGTGGGTTGCCGAGACGTCAGGGTTACTCCAGACCCAGTTTTCATGTGGTAGTGTGAATTGTCTCCGGGTGGAGGGAACAATGCTGGCAAGTAGGGAAAACAACAAACAGATTTACTGGTGCTTTGTACAACTATTTACAACCTAGGAGGGTTAGAGTTCAGCGAGCCACGAGCGTGGTGGATGGATGTTTAACTCATGGTCCAGACCGACTTCTTGCACTTTGCATCGTTGATTTAAGGCCTTACTTGGGCTCCTTTTTTTTGATTCAAAACCAATCACCCACACGACACCACTCACTATAACACCAGCCAATAACACGCACGGTTGTGAATGAGTCGTTGCACTCGCTGATGCAATGATCCTCCAGTCAATTTCACTCGAGAGAGGAAAATCCATCATGGGGCAAGTCAAGCTGGCGGGTGGGTAGCTTACTGCCGTCTCTGCCTGGAAGGGCAGCAAAGGATTAAGCGAATTGTTGCTTTTGTTATGACCTGCGAGGTCAGTCGGCCACGCAGCCTGCCCAAACAAGTGATTGTGGAGGAAACAACAGCATGGGCGTTAAATCACTGTGTGTAGAAGTTTGCCACATTCTTATCCTCTTCTGGCACTTGTCACCACTGGACACTTGTTTCAGAAAAAGGCACAGGGGTGTCAAGTCGTGGGACAAAAGGGCAATGTCGTCGGCATATATGGCGGAGCTGATGTTACTGTTGTTATCAAGATCTCTAGTGAAAACAGAGGATGCTCTAAGAAGCCGTATGCACGGTTGAGAAACACATTTCTTGTATGAACCTCGCACTATCAGACAGGTCTAAGTTGCTTGTCTACTGACCCATTCGCTTGGGGCGACACCCTGGTGGATGGGTACCAACCGCGGAGATCGACATATACTTCTTCACTATGAGGGATGCGGAAATCACCCACATAGACACTACACACGTGATAGACACGTTCATCTCTGAAAATGGCAGAAATGCAGCTACGATGCAGAAGCTGCAACAGCACTCTGCTGCCACCGTATTCAAAGGATCTCGGGTATACAAGGAGGCATCAGGGAGGACAACCTCCTCCAGCTCTTCCATGCCTTCCTTTCAAGTCATATCAATTACTTCGTCTTCATGCATGCTTAGACTACTGAAAAGGCCAAACTAAAGGTCTTGATTAGACAAACTATCAAAGGGGGTTTTGGAGCTTCCTTCTCAAACGAATACCATGAAACTCGAGGCGCTGGGTGTACATAACAAACTCAATGATTTAATCTAAGCGCAGTGCAGGGCCCATATTTTCCGACTTTCTTGCACTGGAGTGAGCAAGGCTATTCTAGCCAAAGAGCAGTTCCTCTTCCAAACACAATAAGGTCTAAAATCATGGTTCATCCATTTCCAGTGAATATGAATCTGGCACATAATCAGATCAGAAGAGCGAGGGCTAAAACCTTCTTTGATTCCAACCGCAGAAGTGAACATGTGCTCTTTGTAGACGCATCTTGTTTGGGACTGAATAGCTTTGTGGCCGCCGTAGTAGACATCAGCGGCCGCACCGTTAGCGCCACCTCGGCGAGGATGAAGTCCGACAGGGTAGCCAAACAGGTCGCCGTCCCTTTAGCGCTAACCATTAGAAATCGATCTCCTATCCTTTCTGATTCTACGATGGTCATCAGGTTGTTTGACTCCAACCAAATCTCTTTGGCTGCTTACAGCATTCTCACTAACAGCACAGTGTTCCTTTACGAGTTGACGTGGTTCCCCAGCTACACGGGCACCCCCGTCGACTGCATCACTAACGCCATCGAAATGGCTCATGCTTGGGCGCGAGGACTCATTCTCTGCCCCAGGCAAACGAGCTTCCCACACAGTGCGGAGGACGGGAGTGGTGGTGGCGCAGAGTCCCGTTGACCACCTTTTATGAATAATGTTCGCACTTCAGATTAGGCAAGAAATCCTTTCCAGATCGGCACAGAGAGCTCACTAGGAAGCAGCAGATAGCCCTACGGCTCCTCCAAACTATTTTCCTTCGCTTGCCACTATTGCCGTGATACGGACATTGCCCCAAACTGCTGAGCTTGCAATCAACTCGCCACATCCCCTCATTTGATGTGGCGGTGCGTCCGCTTGCGCCTTTCAACGAGGAAGCATCATGTCAACGAGACAAACTTTTTAGGGTGCATCATAAGTTCACACCTTCACCAACAAATCCGGGCAGTTTAGGGAGCCTGTGAAGCGATTGCGAACCTTTGGTTCTTGGCCCTGCCATGAGTGCTGCCTTCAGTGGGTTCTTTGAAACCTTCTTCCAAGGACGCAATTAAAGTTTGTCTATGTCAAGTCGTGGGAACGCATCCCGGCTATGCCTCTGATAAACAGCACACCGTCAATGACCGAGAGTCACAGCACCATGCTGAGAGCTTCTTGTGCGAATGGGGGCAGAAAGACGCCATTGAATGTGTGAAATGAGTTAGCAGAAGTGGCAGGCCTTCCTGGAACCAGTGCACGTAGGTGTGGAAGTGTACGCGACCAAACAAACTCGTTGGTTTTGTTGGCATACATGAGAAGACACGGTGCAACTGTGCTGCAACTGCAGGATGGTATATTAAATGAAACTTCAGGTGCTGGCTTTTTTCTTTCTGTACACTCGAGCCTGATATTGCTGCACTGTTTAAAGAATCTTGCAAACATGCACAACACGCAAAGGAGAAGTGTGTGCAACTGTGGGCGCAGGTTAGCCAGATGAGGACAGAGGACGCTCGAGGACAACGAGAGACTTTTATATACACGAAGACGAACAAGGGGATACACACTACTTAAACTCACACATGTGTACACGCGTTCACGGTCCTTTGCGGAAGGGAAGTTAATGTTCTTGTTCGTCCACTCACTTTCTATTCTTGGAGCGTGAACATTGCGCTTGACCTTGAGCTCTCTCGTAGTCAGGAGGCAGTGTGCCTTGTGCTTGCGGAGTTCGTACCGAGACGGGGCCTGACCTAGAAAATAACCGCCAGGGGCATCCCAGTACGGTGGTCAACGCCTGGGCTTGCCTGTACACCACCGAGAACAGCCTACCGCCGACTGCCGCGAACAGACCTGGGACAGCGTCTCGCTCCGAGACCAGAACAGCAGCTGGCCGTGAAGAACGTGTTTCAGACCAACCCGGGGGTGACGTGGGGCGATGCCCAGTCCGGAACGCACCCGAGGACTTCAACGCGGAGACGAGGCCCGGACACGGAGGGTCAGAACGAGCAGTTGGGGTGTGGCCCGAACTTGTCCTTGCGCTCTGCTCTCTGGGGTTAGCGGAGCTGTCCCCGTGGCTCGGGAGCTTTTTCACGAGGTACGCGCACGAGCATGCGCATAGGTGAGCTTTTTTGTTTCACCGCTATGACCATCATGGCGATTGCCGCGCACCTTGAAATACTAAATCGGCCCCGCACACCGATCACAAATGAATCGGCCCCGCACACCGATTTTCTACGTCAAAGCATGACGCACACTCTCCAGGGCAATGTTTTTCACCACAAGAAGATTTTAAGCTCTTGCCAACATCAGGTGGTAACAGTGTTGTGAACACAAAAGCCTGCATTCGACAGGCAGACACAGCAATGTAATTGACCAAGATATGTGCTCTTTCACCAGAATAAATTTCACTTATTTCAGTTGATAGTTGGCACTTCATATAGTGTGTTCCTTGCTTTGTCTTTCTTTTTACCACACTCTTTTCTGATTGAAGGTGTTCAACTGGCCAACAAGGTCACCTTATTAACCTTTTTGTCTGCTGGTGTGCCATTTTATTGATGCCGTTTTCGTGATGGAAATGTTTTCAATGGACTTTGGGGGGAGGGGAAATGTGGCTTTTTTGCCCCTGCTTTTTTTTTCTGTGGCACTCAGACATGCTAAATCATTTTGTAGCTTCCTTCAGTGTTCACAAATGTGTGCTGGCATTTAGCACCTGCTGTTGTGTGTACAGGTGGCGCACGCACAGATGCAGTGCCATCTTGGGCTGTTTCCTGAGATTGGTCGTGCCTGGTTGGTGGTGGACAGTGACTTGTTTGTGTGGCGGTACGAGACGGGTGACGACCTGGCCTACTTTGATGGACTAAGTGAGGCCATTCTGGCTGTCGGCCTCGTGCAGCCTCGACCAGGCGTGTTCCAGCGACACATTCACTTGCTCCTCTGCCTGGCTACCTGCACAGAGATCGTCATCCTTGGTGCCACAATGCATGGTCAGCGCACTCAAAAGTATTGCACTCATTTGCATCAACTGACAATGAAACTGCATCCTGGCATTAGTTTCCATATTGACTCGCACAATCAACCTGCCATGGTGGTATAGCAGTTTTGGTGCTCAACTGTTGACCCGTAGTTTGCAGTATTGCATCGTAGCTGAATTTTGATGGAGGCAAAATTGAAGGGGCCTGCGGGATATAGGTGCATGCCAAAGAACACCTGATTAGGGGGTGTCATGTAGTGTAAATGTTTCAGGAGAAAGGAATAACACATTTCGAGCTAGTTAGTCTTTCATATCGAGCTGACGAGAACAAAACAAGGAAACACGTGCTGACTAACAACTGATGTTTTATTGCTCGTACGCTACAACATAAATAGCACGTATATAAAAAAAGGAGGCACAGCAAAAGGAGCAAGTCTAGATAGAGCACTCAAAGCAGTTAGCCTAGAGGTCGTGTTCTAGTAACAGCGCGATAACTCCAGGAAGGGACAAAAAGGACAGGAAAGAGCGCCGACTGTCAACTGAATTTTATTGAAGGTGCTACGACCGCTTTTATAAAGAGTACAAAAAAACACAGTGCTCACGTGCGACGATACATGCGTGTCCATGATAATATAATCTCAACTCAGAAAAGAATACTCTCTTTCGGAAAGGATAAGTGAAGGTGTACTGATGGATTGATCCTTGGCCTTCATGATAAAAAAAGGCTTCTAAAATCTCTCATTTTTGTTCTTGCTTTTTTCAAAAACCATGTTTTATGAAACATAGGACTGCACTTACATTCTTTTACAGTGTAAGGCTATGAGAATACCATAGCCATTCTTAACATTTAATGCATGCTGACTTGCTCGACCATTGAAACATTGCCACAATTGTCCTATGTTTATGTCAACGGTATCTCATACACGACATTAGACTTGCATTCAGTAAACCTATTCATGTGACAGATAGTGCAAGATTGGCTATTCCTGTTGATGTACACACACTTTTGAAAGCTTGCAAGGGGCAGAAAACAAGTTAACTTTGTATCTGCTCGCTCTTTTCGTTAAATTGTGAGACACTGTATGTACGTGCGGTAAGCATGCAAAGGTCTTTGGTCATTCTGTTTTTCTCTTGGTCCTGTTTTGTCTCTGTTAACTTTCTGCTGGAGGGTTTCCGTTTTTGTCCAACTTTCGGTCTTGTCCAACCTTCTTGGGGTCAGGCCAAAAGAATATGCAAGGTCATAAAACCTGAGAAGGGGTGACAAATTCGGATGTACTATGATTGGCAAGGATCCTTCTCGTGAAGCTGCAGGACTGTGTCACTTCAAAAGCCTTGCGGGGAATACAGCAGAATTCCTTTGGAAACGTACCGTACTCTTTTTACCGAGGAATAACAACGGAAATCAGTCGCTGAGAAAAGTGACCGAATTGACGGGTGCATCCTTACTAGGTGAAGTTGAAAAGGTATATGAGAAGGGACCCAAATACAGTTTTGAACCACAATTTGAACCCTATCAACAGCTGGCTATGGCATGCAGCTTGGGACACAAAGCGAGTGACAGAGAAAGAAGCCATATTATAGCGGAGAATGTTAACTGTGCCATTAAAAACTATAAGAAAACCCTGAGATTGCCTCTGAAACAGATAGCCACCTATATGAAAGATAACGATTTGGAGGTAGTGCTGGCCGATGAAGGTAGACTCGTGGTACTTCCACAAAATTTATTTGGGTCAAAAGCAACCACGGCTATTCAAAAACACTTCAAGGTCGTCAACTTCTAACCCAATTAAGCATAAGAAAAAAGTGTTGAAGCTAATCAAGGACATGAACCTCGACAACCTAAAAAAGTTAGTAGGCAAGTCAGACAGAGGTTACTTGGAGGCCTTTTTCACCTGCAAGACTCACAAGCCTGAGCATCCTTTCAGAGTAATCGTTTCGGAGAGGGCATCATGGCAGCAACATGTAGGAAGATTTCTTCAGGACAATTTGGAAAAGTTTACTTTTGAATATTCGTTTCTCATAAGAAGCTCCTCCGATTTGGTCTAGGAACTGCGGGAAGGTTTACGCTGCAATGTGGTGGGATTTTCAGTAGACTTTGTGGACCTGTATTACTCTATTCCTTGTGATGGCCTTATTTTGGCTGTGAAGAAATTGTCAGAGTTCATGCCTATAATATTTTCAGAATATTATAGGCATGAACTCTGACAACTTTATGATGCTTTTAGAATTTTATCTCAATTCTACTACCAGCAAGGACGATGGGCAATTCTTAATCCAACGCACTGGCATATGTATAAGTTCATCAATGGCCCCACTTCTTTGTGACATCTTTTTGTCTGTTATTGACAGAAGCATTTCTGCTAGCCTTGCATGTTTAGCTGTACCTGTGCTCAAGGTCTTCAAAGAGCACTCCTGGGGGCTCAAATTCACATTTGAATTGCCAAAAGACAACGGTATCAAGCTCTTAGGCATTCACCTTTCTTTTTCGGATAATACCCATACATGCCCAGAAGTGCTAAGATAATACCCATCAGCCCAGAAGTGCTAAGAATGTCCTACCTTTTGATAGGGGGCACTCAAAACTAGTAAAAACAGGAATCACCACCACGTGTATTCAGGCCACCCTTCAGAATTCATGTGAGCAAAAGGGTGAGGTCAGCCTTAAAAATCGGATTAAAAGACCAAAAGATGCTGGGTATCTCAACAGCACCATCACACCTGTTTGTGAAACCCTCCTGCAGAAAGTCAAGATAAACAAAACAGGACCAAAAGAAAAACAGAATGACCAACGACCTTTGCATGTTATACCGTACGTACATAAGGTGTCTCACAATTTAAAGAAAATAGCGAGCAGATACAAAGTTAACTTGTTTTCTGCCCCTTGCAAGTACGCTAAAAGAGTGGGTACTAAACAGCAACAGAAATAGTGAATTTCGCACCATTTGTCATGAGAATAGGTTTACTGAATGGCAATCTAATGTCGTGTATGAGATAACGTTGACATGTGGAAAAGTAAACATAGGACAAATGGGGCAATGCTTCAATGATCTAGCAAGACAGTATGCATTAAATGTTAAGAATGGTTATGGTAGTCTCATGGCCGTACACTGTAAAGAATGTAAGCGCAGTCCTATGTTTCATAAAACATGGTTTTTGAAAAAAAAGCAAGAACAAAAAATGAGAGATTTTAGAAGCGTTTTTCATCGGGAAGGCCAAGGATCAATGCATCAGTGCACCCTCACTTATCCTTTCTTAAAGAGAGTATTCTTTTCTCAGTTATGATAACATTATCATGGTCACACATATATCGTCGCGCATGAGCAATGTGTTTTTTGTGCTCTGTATAAAAGCAGTCGTAGCACCTTTAATAAAATTCAATTGACAGTCAGCGCTCTTTCCTGTCCTTTTTGTCTCTTCCTGCAGTTTTAGCGCTGTTACTAGAACACAACCACGATAAAACAACTCGCACAAATTAAGCTCTTGTAGCCAAGAGGGACCGTGATTATCTAGCCCCGATAGGAAGGCTAGCTCTTTATCGAATTGGGCTATTGATGTGGTGCTAATGCAGCTGTCTTGTATGTTCACAACAATTTGGCCTCCTATGATTTCTCAGATAACTTTATCACCAAACTTTGTAGTACTCTCGTGATAAATTCAACCGCATGAGAGTTGTGATGTTGTGCACGCGTCCATAACGAATGCTGGCAGAGTTACATCCATTTCCTCATTTTGCTCTTTTCTTCACTAGGCTGTGTTCATCGGCTCATCTGTCTACCTCTCAGAGGGGCCTTCCTCAGTGCTCAAGAGGGAAACTCGGAAAAAGCACATATACTAGCAGAAAACAGGCCCTTGTTCGCCCACTAACAATGTTTGTCCCTCGTGACATCACCTAATTGTACAGGTGACTTCATGAAGCCTGATGTCCATAGGGGAAAGGCACGCGAGCTTCTGTCGGTGGTTGAGGGCCCCTGTAAGTGTGGATGTCGCAATGGGAATAGTAAACCTGGTCTAAATATCATTTCTCAATTAGATCTTTTTTTTTTGTGATCCTGAGACCACTTTTTACGCCATGGTGGAGTACTAGATCAGAATAATGAATATCTTCTCTTCATTGCAAGTTTCTATTTTTCACCACATGATAGCCGACGAGCCCGCAGTAAAAACTGTCTTTTGATAGTTTGACAACGCTCTGGACCCCTGCAACAAATAAACACTTTGGTGGTGCTGCAGGCACTCGACAAGGTGTTCGTTTTATAGGCATAAACACACATTTCACACTGCAGAATGGGGTAATACAATATAAGCAAATGCAACAGTAACAACAATAACAAGAACAACTCCATGATATATGTTGCGGATACAAACAATGAAAGATAGGAAAATGAAATATCATGTGCAAAGTAATTGGAATATATTGTCATCAAGTTATAAAAAATGACGTAACCACATTGGGCAAACATTTCAATCAAACAAGGAACAATGCATTTATCTTGGAATACTTCACATCTTCAAAAAGAAATATTTCAAAATTGCTTTCCTTTTGTAATGTTTTCTAGAACGATATTCTTTCTGCATAAATTTTAAGTTGAAAAAAAAAAAAATGCCGGGCCTATGAGGAATGCTTCGCACATGCCCAGCAAAAACTGGAAGAGCGGCTTTTCCGGAGTCTCTCTTCTGTACTCATGGGGAAACGACAGGCATACCTGCATGGCACCCACTACACCATCAATCATAGTTTTCATGAAATACGAAAGTGTGCAGTATGCCATTAATATTCGCCATTCACCGGAGGTTGTGGTACCCGCTACTTATTTGTAACGTATTACGCGTGCTTTGTTGGTGCTGTGATTGATGACAGTGACGAATTGTGTCTGTGGCTTCAGTGTTAGGTTGAAAGCAATTAACGACCCACACAACTCTCATCGAGTGATGCCAGATTGTTACTTTGCTGTTCTGAAATGCTCTATTAAACTTGTTAATGGGATTCCGTAACTGACATGAAGCTTGCATAGG